ATGATGATGGGGAAAAACGTCGAAAAAGGGGTAATAGAGGGCAGAGAGGGGAAGTTCGGCGGATGGAAAATGCTGCTGCAATCTTGACGGGAATTGAAATTGAAAAGAAAATGAATGAAATGTGCCGCGAGAGGGTGGGGAAAAATATAGTATAGGGGACTGAGAGAGCTCAGGAGGAACAGCTTACTTGGCTGAGCTCTCTGTGAAAGAGGAGTCCTGCTTTCACAGTTGTCCCCGTCGTTGTCCTTCTCATTGCCATTCTTGCTGCCTGTCAGCAGGATTGTCAGGAGGAGCCCTCTCCTACTTCTACTCGGTTGTCCTCTGGTTATTTGCATTAAAAATATTATTCATTGCAATCACAAGGATTTTGCGCAAAAATGCCTGCAATGAGCCGTTGTCGCTACATAAAATGCAATTGCCAAGAACAAAAAAAAAAACAGTAAAGAAGGACTAAGAGTGTAAGGACTTACACTCTTTTGTCTTGAGCGGAATAAGCGAATAATGATATATCTGTGACACAGTTTAACTGTCATCTCTTAAGACACTCCAAATGGTTTTCAGGAAGATTAACGACAGCGGCAAATCGATAGAGAACTTGTTAAAAGAGTATAGATCAAGATCGACATTCAAATAATGTTTTTTTAAAGAGAAAGAGGTACATTTTATAGAGGAAATCACTAGGTTAAAGAATAAAGTCAATAAATAGGTTAGTTTTTGATTTAAAAATCAATTGATATGAATATTAAATTAGATGAGCTATAGAAAACTAATTTAAAGTAATCTGGAAAACCTCATACATGTCCTATTAAACTGGTTGTAATATCTCTGCTTTCCTGTTTTTGTTTTTGTTTCGTACAAATGATGTACAATAATTGAAGCGATTTCAATGGTCTATAATTAACAGACTTTGATAGCTGATTTCCATAATTGCTTTTTGCACAGACCGGCAAACTAATTGCCGTGAATTTTCAGCAGATATCGGGACTAATGTGTTGTTGCCGCCAAAGTAGCAATAAATGGAGAAACAGAGGACGGAGTCCGGAGTTCGGAGAACACACAGCGACAACATCTATGAGTAGCGGCAACATGGAGCTGCTGGAGGAGCAACTGCGACAGCAGCGGCAGCATCAACAACATCTGCACTTTGATGTTGCCTCATGTTGCACAAGAAGCGCGGAGCACGGAGCACGGAGCACGCAGCACGGACTCAAGGGGAGACATCCAGAAGGCAAGCAAGCTGGCAGCCCAGAGCTGATAAATTGGAAGTGCATTTGACGCTGCTGGCGTAGAAGATGTTGCTGCCGTTGCACTGAGCGATAGAATTATACATTTCCTAAAAAATATTAATTAAATATTTAATAGAAATCCATGATAATGATGGTAATGATATCAATAAATCGGATTTCGATTTAGGGTTCTATCAGAAAGTCCTGAATGTGCATTCATAAGTAAAAGAACTGAAAGTTAATTGAAAAGGGTGTCCTAGAAATTCACAAGTCAGATTTTTGGAACAATCTATATTTTACAATTATTTAATAATAATAATAATAATAATAATATTTATTTATATAGTTATTTTATTTTTTATATATACAACGTCAATGTTGAAATCTTTTCAGTGTTATAAACTTCAGACTCTAATCTTTGCTATGAAGAAGTATTGAAAGAAATCAATTTCAGAAAATTCTTATTTCTGTAAATTACATGCTCAATAAGTTCCATATTTCTTTTATCATAATCATTACTAATTTCTCACTGTGTCTCCTTGTTGCTGTTTCTGCTGTTCCTAATATGGGCGATGATGTTGCTATTGCATTTGCATTCGCCGCTGATGTTGCTGCTGCTGTTCTTGTTGCAGTTGCAGCAGGGTTTTGTATTACCTCTCTCTCTCTCTCTCTATCTCTCTCTCTATCTGTCTCTCTCTCTATCTGTCTCTCTCTCTCTCGCTCTCACTCTAACAGTTAATGAAACTGCCAAACGAGGCATCGCTGCCACATCCGCTGTCTTGCGAGCATGTAGCTCTCCCTCTCCCTCTCCTTCTGGGCTCCTAAACCCTCGCCGTCTCCAACGGCCTTCGTAAGCAAAGCCTGCACCAAGTGTTGCCGCTGTGCTCCTCCGGCCGGTGACAGCAGCAACATCATCATCAGCAGCAGGCAGCAGCACGATACACCTCAAAAAAAAAAATATTATAAAATAATTTGAGCTTAAAAAAAGTTCAAGATTAAAAATAAGTCTTTGATCTACATCTCATAAATATCTATTTTTTGATAATATTAAGGAAGAATAATAAAGGTATTTAATCTATCAAAAGCAAAGGTCATGCATTCGATTCATACATTTTCGATTCCCTCAGATTCTTCTGTTCTATATCATTATTGTACTAGGAGATAAATCTACAAAGCTCTTCCACTTACTCCGCTGCTTTTGTTTATACATTGCAGGCAAAGCGTTGAGAAAATAGAGATCTAGGCTTAAACCGACAATTAAAAAGGCTTTATAAGGTTAATTATAAGAATTGCTTTAAGACAATATTAATATATTGTAATTTGTTTGTTACTCAATGAAACTCTCTCAACCAAAATTGTTAGTACATTGCAGGCAAAGCTTTGACAAAAGAGCAAAAGTAAGATTGTAAGAGTTACGCTTTAAAAAACAATAAGAGAAAAGAGACATTACAAGGTTAATTAATTTATTTCAAGTTTATGAAACATTTGAATTTTTTTTTTTAACAAATACTAATTAATTTTTCACAGTTGCTTAAAATATTTTCTTTGAGTGTTCATACAGTCAGCAGTTGCCACGCCCCCTGGACTACGCCCCACTCCCCGGACAGTCACGCTTGCTTGTCAAACACTCTGGCAGACTCTTACGATCTCTCTCTCCGCCGGCTCCGTTTGGGTTCGGTTCGGGCTCCATCCACCTCCCATCCGTGGCAAAATCCATTTGCATATTTGCATCCTTATGCCTGACAGTTAACGCTGCTCGTATCCTCCTCCTTCCCTCTCTTTTTTTCCTTGCCTCTCTATCTCTCTCTTTAGCAAGCGGCGCGCTTTTAACGACAAAGTGTGAAATTTCATTGAATTTGAGCTCGTTGACAAAAGTGGAATGGAATGGCAACAACAGCAACAGCAAGGCAGGTGCTGCAGGTTGCACTTGTAGTTTTCGCAAATTAATTTAAATTATAGTTTCTTCTTGTACTTTTTGGGAGCACGCTTTTTATGTGATGCAAAATTATTAAAAATGCAAAAGAGGAGGGAAGCCAGCTAATTTGTTGGAAAAATATAGTCACAATTAGTCTGTAGTTTCATGATTTTGTTGTTGTTTTTGGTGAGGCTTATGCTAATTTTGAAATTTGAAAAAATCAAAGAAATAATGAAGCTAACGAAGTGAAATTTGTTACTTTCTTGCTCTCATAAAATCCAAGAAAATTGATTTGTATAATTTTTGCATTATATTCAAGTTGCAAGTTGCTGATTTGATTTCATAAAATACAAAGTTGAGAACTTAAGGATGTTCAATTTTTAGTTTTATGATTTTAATGAGCTGGCCTGGAACGGAGATGACTAAATTAACTCGCCTGCTGATGTGAGCATAAAAACCCCCGCTTTTCCGGGAAATTCTTCTTGTAAAACCTGCAACTTGATTGAATTTCTACTCATTATTGCCGGGAAAATAGTTGTGACCCATTAACCCATGCAGCAAGCAATGTTTTTTTTTCGCCACTTTTCCGCAATTCTCCTCGAGAATTCTCCTTATTTCTGCGGGGGAGGGCGACCACACGACTTTGGCTTTAAGTAATTTTCTAATGACACCACAGAGGAAAAATGACTCTCTGGGACTTGGGGGTTACCCAAGTTACCGCCCCACTTGCCAGCCCCTGCTGCTCATTTTCCAGGCAGCTCCTGCTGGCGACGTTCATTAGATTAAAAGCAATTTACAGTAAAACTTTTTGCCACAAAACGCCTTCTGTCCTGATGTCCTCGCCCAGTTTCAGCTTCTTCACACACGTGCTGCAACTCACATGTGCCCCCAAAACGCCGTGCAAATGTTGCTCGGAACTCCCTCTTCTGGTTGTGATGCACAGTGAAAAACAATTGGGTTCATTTTTACCATGATTGGTAGAAAAATAAATACAGATTTTGGAAGTTAATATGATGTAAGAGAAAATAATACAATGACAAGCTTTTAGTTAAACAAATAATTTACAAATAAATGAATGAGTGTCTAAAAAATTTCTTTATTTCGATCAGTATATAATTCTAAATTATATTTTCCCCACAATTTTCTATATTTTATGAGCAATAACTTCTTCAGTAATTATTCTCTGTGTAGTCATTTGGCGCTATCCGCCTTTTATTTTCGGAATTCAACAAATTTGCGGATTTGGTTTGTAATTTATTAAATTTATCGCATGCTCAGAGCGCCTTAGCAGCTGGAAAACGGGTCTGCTGGATGACCTGCGCCTCCTGCTAATGTCTGTGGTTGCTCTACTCCGAGAGTCCGGATGGAAACGGAGGAGGAGGGTCTCCTCCAGAATTCAGCATCCAGAATCCAGTGGCATCTGCAACATTTGTTGATGACAACCCGAAAGACACAAAATGCAACATTTCATGGCAACGCAAACGCCCATTTTTAGGGGTGGAAGTCATCCGGAGCTTAGAAGTTATTATTTTGATTTATAGAAAAAGTTCGTTTTAGCGAGCGAAAGTTGCTCGTATATATTTTCTTTTTAGGGGAAAGAGGTGTAGAATTTTAAAAGATAAGTAGCGTTGAAATGGGTGAAGCAAGAACTCTTCTCAATCTACGTTTGTTTTTATTATGCGGGGTGAAAAAAGTGGAAAATTATGCCTAATTTATTATTTTTTAATAGGAAAATATAATAATAGAAACTGCACGAATTAAATATTTAAATTCTTAAGCTTATGGGTGCGGGATATTAAAGATTTAATAATAATGTTAAGTACTGTGATTAAAGCAACATTAAATAAACCAAAGAGATATTTATTTCTCAATTTAATTATATTTACATTTTCTGAAACATACAGTTTACTCACGAATATCACAAAAAATGCACATTTAATTTAGTAAATCCCCTTGACCTTTAAAATTTTCCATACTTTTCCATAATTTTCATACAGTTGCTAGTTTTGTTTGCACATCCTCGGGTAGTTTCCTCTTTGTCCAGCCACTGAAGCAGGGCTTCTCCTGACCAACTTTTGAGCCACCCTCCGAATCCCGTTTTGGACCACTTTCCCCACCACAATAGTAGGTATCATGAAGCTCCGAACAGTCCGTATTTGAGATATTTTTCCAACCTGAAGCATTGATGTGATACAGCCGAACTATACCCCCGAATAGGCATCCTTGCTGGTGGCATGATAGATGGCTCTACGGGCCAAATCATAAGCCTCCTGGTCAGTAAGATCAAACCGATAGCCCGTGTCCAAGACACCTAAGGCATAGGGGGAACCACTGCCCACGGAGAAGACATGACCATGTGTCCGCATCCCTTCCGAGTCCACATAAATCAATTTGGCTCCCTCGTCATCGAAGCCGGCCAACATCATGCCCATAACCAGGCCCATTCCCTTGTATTCTGTGGAAATGTTGCAAATAATCCTGGCCGCCGTATCCACAGTCATGCGTTTCCGGAAGCGAAGCTGATGGAGACGACACTCCTTGGCCAGCACTCGATCCCAATAGACGCAATCGGCTGCTCCTCCAGCCAAGGTGCCCAGCATATAATCGTTTAATTCTACGATTTTTTTCATTGTCTGCGATCCTATATATTGACCAGAAGTGGCCCTGGAATCGGCACAAAGGATCACACCGCCCTGATACTTGAAACCCAAGGTTGTGGTTCCATGATCAAAGTTCATCTCGATGCCACAGTGAGCCAAGATCTTTGGCAGATTCTCAGCGGGCTGAAAGGTGATCTTGTGTTATTATAGATTATAGTTTTGTAAGGATATTTTCTTAATACGTTTTCGAAAGGTGGTGCCATTAGAGCATAGGGATTCTTGAAATTACTGGTTGCCTCGCGTATCTGCTGCAGTTGCCATTCAGTTTGTAAATCATCAAAGCGTCGCATAAAGGGCATGCGATTCATTCCGCAAACAAACTCCAGGGCCATTATGGGGATTAAAATTATAGGTATTGTGTTATTTATACAAAAAAGTGTGTTGTGTGTTGAGGAAAAGCAAAATTAAACTGAATTTTAAGTGACTAATAGATCTAGGGTGGAGACATTGGGGATTTTATGATTCTCCAAGATTCTATTGAAAAATAAGATGTGGTATTTATATCTTTAGCTGAATCTAACTAACTCTCAAACTTTCACTTTGAAGTTTTTGATCCTAACTCTCCTTATAAGTACTTAACTTTCCATGGTTACCAGCTCTCAAAACCCTGGCCAATACTCACGCTCCAATAGTTAATCAGCGCGATGGGCAAGCCCAATCTCTGATGCCAGTGGCATTCCACAGCGGATGTAAACTGTTGACTTGGTTCCGCTGACCACCCAAGTGGAGTCCAGTGGAGGTCACTAGCTAACCAGTGGGCAGTGTGGCGCCACCGCAGAGGAACACGACATTTTAATTGGACGTCGTCATCGTCATCATCATCGGCACCTGCGGAGATGCAACATTTTTGGGCCGCAAAATGGATGAGGAGTGTGCTGGGCAGGGGGAAGGAAAGGAAAGGAAAGGAATCGCTGTGGCAGTGGCAAACGGATTAGCCGCTAATTAAACGCCAATTGGAAAATGTTTGCAAAACTGTTTGAGTCCACGGGTCCAGTTGGGTCTGGGTCTGGGTCTGGGTCTCCAGATGCAACCACTCCCACTCCCACTCGCTTTTTCTCCCTCTCCCTCTCCATTAGTGGCCGCCATGTGTCACTGATCTAAATTTATGCAAATTGCCGAGAACTTGGACTCCACATTCCCATTGCCATTCCTCTCAGTCACCAGCCGGCAGCCTACACTACTCACCCATCCGCCACATTGGCACATTTCATTTCATTTTTGCACGCGCCTCCTCCAATTCCAGTCCTTTTACACTGAGAAAAACAATAATTTTAAAGATTACGCAAAAATCGAATACAAAATTTCAGATTAATACACATACCTTTTATATATACTTGAATATTTTTTTTTATGTATGGTTTTATAACACATATAGCGCTTAATGTTTAAAGAAATAATAACATTATAATTTTTTGTACATTTTTATAATTTTAAAAAATTCATAACTTGGTCAAAAAAGCCTTAATTTTAATTTGGAAACCTTTTTTGTGCTAGGTTTTATTTGATTAATAAATCTGCATAATCAACCTCAAATTTAAAAGAATTAAAATTTTTATCAATTTTTCTACAATTATAACAATGTAAAAAATTCATAAAAAATGTTGAAAAAATTAAAAAAACAAATTTTCTGCCGAACATGGCTAGATCGACTCGGCTTTTTGTGCTGATCAAGAATATATATGATTTATAGGGTCGGAAATCACTCCTTTCAGCGCTACAAGCTTTTGACTAGAATTAAAGTACCCTGCAAGGGTATAAATATCATATTAAGATGTTTTGTTCTGATTCTTTAAAGTACTGTCGCGTTGAAAAGTTTTAATCGGGACACAGGTTTGGGTATTCATTTCAGTTTTAAATTTAAAACATTTAAAGAAATTTTGTCAGGCTATTTCATATAGCTGGTCAGCTAACGGGCATACATGGCGTATACTTAACGTGAAATCCCTTAAATTAAGTATACGCCGTGTGTGTCTTAAGGGAGAATGGGGTGGAAAATTATTAAAACAAGTACTTCCAATTAAGAAGCAAGTTAAGAAGCAAGCTGAAGTATATATTAATGCAGTTTTCAATTAAATTATAGCAACGAAAATCTATCATAGCCAGGCTTAAAATAAGAATGAATCAATATGTAACTTATTGATATTTTATATGCCTATTTTTTCAACAAATCAAAGTTTAAAAAACTCATAACTAAGCCAAAAATGCATTAATTTTAATTCGGAAAACTTTCCTATGTTAGTTTTTATTAGGGTAATAAATCTGCATACTCAATTTAAAATGTAAAAAATTTAAATTTTTTATGAACTTTTTTTGGCAATTTTAACGACAAAATCTTGAAAAAAAAGTTTCAAAATTTTTTTTTGTCTGAGATGGCTGGATCGATTCGGCTATTCATGCTGATCAAGAATATATATGATTTATAGGGTCGGAAATGATTTCTTCACATCGTTACAAGCTTCTAACTGAAATTATAATAATCTACATACCTACCTTTTCAGTAAGGATTTATAAAAAAATCTAGTAAATGCAAACACAGTTTTTCGTCGTTGTTTCCTATAGTTGATAAAATAATACATTTTTCTTATATTAATTTCCCTGAGTGTAATGTAGGAAAAATGAGAAAATCGGGCAAAGGGGACATGAGAGTTTTAGAGAAAAACTGTGGGAAAGAGGAACCAAGCCGGGCTAAGCCATTCATTCTGGTTAAAACACTCTCACAGCCATCAGGCGCTTCCTGAAAATGCTTAATTCTTATCTTTTTTTGTGTCATAATTAAGAGTCTACAAATTAAAGAAATAAATCTCGCTTGTTATAGTAATTTTTCACATAAAACCAAGGAAGTTATTAGACTTTTGGGTTTCTTAGACAATGCAAAATATGTTTATAATTTTTCCTGAAAACTATGTTATCATCTTAACATAATTTCTGAGGCTTATTTAAATGATATTTTTATTAAAGAATTTTCCAAAAGTGAAGGGCATCTAAAGTACTTAATTCTACAGCTTTTATTCCACCAAAATCTCTGTACATCACTGGATAGTTTTGACTGCCAAGCGCACTGATTATTAAATCACAGGGCAGAGGGCCAGCAACAGCAGCAGCAGCAATCTGATATGCAAAATCTCGTCTAGCCCAGAGACGCTGCAGCCGGAACCTCCTACATCACCCTCCCGGCTCTAGTCGCGGCATCTGTGCTGCGTTAATTACAGCCCAGTTTTGTGCACTGGCAACAACTTGTTAAAAATTTCCGCTGCCAGTTTATTAGAGGGCAACTAACTAAGGCAGCAACGTGGAAGTATCACCATAAACCCATCTCCACCAGGCACCAGGCACCACTTCCACACTTCATTCCAATCCCTTCCCTTTTTCCCTGTTTTTCCCTTCTTTTTTTCGCCTGAAGTGGCTGGCAAATTACTTAGTCTGAACCTGTTTTAATGACTAAGATGACGCCAAGTCAAGAGCGAGTGAGAGATTTCGGGCAAGCTCTGGAGTTTTCCGGCTGCAAATTATTGCTGGCGATGGAAAAAGAAGAAAAGAGATTAAATTTAATACTTAGAGAGAAGTTTTTAAGGTAGAAAACCCAGCAATTATTCAGCTTAAAATAAAAATATTTTAAGCATCGGAAGGAGAGTATTAGAAGTATATAATGTTGCTTGTTTTTAATAGTTTAAAATCCTCTAAAATATATTGTCCTGAAGATAGTAACTAACGCATAAATACTATGAATAACTTTGCTCTCAAAATCCACTTTTCCCAACTTTTAAGCATAATAAATATAACGATGAATAGAATAAAAATAAATAAACCACCTTGTTAACAAGCCTAAGAATATTCCCTAAATCTTTTCAAAGAGTTTCTTTCTTTTTAAGCTTTTGCGAACAAGACTCTTCTTTTTGAATTAAACAAAAAAACAAAAACGCAAGTAACAATAAAAAAATAAACCAAAAGGAAACAAGAAAGGAAGCTAACTTCGGCCCGCCGAAGTTTAAATACCCTTGCAGATAGAAATTCTATGACTAGAAATCCATACCATATAAATTATATATATATGTGTTTAAAAACAATGAAGTAATACCTGCTTTTATTTCATTCACCTATACATATTATATTTGCAGCTTTATATTCACAGATTTGTATTTTTCTTCTACATCAAACGATCGTTTGTATGGCACCTATATGATATAGTCGTTTGATTTTCATAAAATTTTACACAAAATTTTAGAATAATATGAAATGGCTATATCTCAAATTTGATTAAATTCTGTTGAAAATTAAAAATGTTATCGCCACCGCGATTGTCAGTCTTCCGACAACAGCCACCGCCATTCTCATTCCTCTCAAATTTCTCGATCGTTCCTATGGGAGCTATATGATATATTAGTCCGATTTTCATAAAATTTTACACAAAATTGTAGAATAATATGAAACGGCTATATCTCAAATTTGATGAAAATCTGTTGAAAACTGAAAATGTTATACTTATTAATTGAATTAATTTCTCGATCGTTCCTATGGGAGCTATATGATATAGTCGTCCGATTTTCATAAAATTTTACACAAAATTGTAGAATAATATTAAATGGCTATATCTCAAATTTGATCCAATTCTATAGAGAACTGAAAAAGTTAAAATTTTTTTTGTAAAAATTTTCCGATCATTCCTATGGCAGCTATATGATATAGTCGTCCGATCCGGCCCGTTCCGACATATATACGAGTGAGAGTATATAGAAGGCTAACTACAAAGTTTCATTCAGATAGCTTCAAAACTGAGAGACTAGTTTGCGTAGAAACGGACAGACGGACAGACGGACAGACGGACAGACGGACAGACGGACAGACGGACAGACGGACATGGCTAGATCGACTCGGCTGTTGATCCTGATCAAGAATATATATACTTTATATAGTCGGAGGTGCCTCCTTCACTGCGTTGCAAACTTCTGACTGAAATTATAATACCCTGCAAGGGTATAAAAAGGGGAAGTAAGAACAACCGTTTTAGGGAAAGACTTTTACCAAGGAATATTTTATTTCACTTTCGTTTTATTTACTTTTGCCGCTTAGCATTATTGTTTTAAAATCCTTCAAATCCGTTGTTTTACTGCTTATTGTCTGCCCAGCTCTCTCCTCCTTCTCCGTTCTGGCCCAAAAACTTTGTTGCCGGCAACTTTTAAGCTTGCTTAAGGCGCCCAACAAGACTTGGTCCCTCCCGTTTCCGAACCTGAAGAATCATGGCAAACTTTTCCAAGGCAGAGCGATGAATGGAGGGGGATCGTATAACCCACCCAACCAATGGGATTCTCAGAACCAAACCGCCGCCGTCCAATTTGTAGTTCATCATCTGTCCCGCGGACCTGTCAAAGCCGTGCGCTAAATTTTGACAGAGCGCCTAATTGAGGGAGAGACACGAACGGAGGAGGAAGAGTATTTGGTAGCGGGAACTTTCGCGCAAGGGGATTCCCCGAAAACAGTTTTGACATTTGCGGCCGAGGACGCTCGCTGGCGACGCATTTAATTTATTTTAATTGAAAAAGGCCCGCAAAATGGATTAGCTTGTCGAATTTACTTTTTGGGCCACACTTTTGCACAGATAAATATAATTTTGAAACATCGAATTACAGATTAAATGTAAGAGAAAAATATTAAAATGCTTAACATGTTAAGATTATTAAATAAGAAAAATATAAGATCCTTATATCTGTGAAAATTCAAAGATTCATTCTTTGTTTTTAACTTGAACATGTTCTGTACAAAAATGTATAAATTTGTAGGTTTTAAGAACAGGACAAGGCCACCATTTGCAATACACTTGGCATTACGAATAAGGGTTCTTAATTAAATAATTAAAAAATTATAAAAATTGGTATTCATTCTTGGCAATAATATTTTTGATACATTAATAGTATTCCACTATAAAAATAAAAAAATTTAATTGAATTATTTAAAGTTTGGATATAACCTTCCCCACGTTCTATTAAATCCTGTAGTATTGTTTATATAATTACCTTGAACAATTCACAAAAAAAATCAACTTTTCTCAGTGCACCATATAGACGAAGGCAAAGTTCAAAGTTGCGGATGCAGAGAACTTTTGCACCCAAGTTGCTTATTAGGTCAAGTTTGGTCTGACAGAAACGGCAAATCCGCCGGAATCAAAGTCAAACACAAGCCAGGACTGACGGACAGACGGACAGACGGACGGACGGACGGACGGACAAACCAAACTATTTCCACCAACACGGCGTACCGCCAAAAAGTATACAATTTTTACGATGATGCATTAAATTAAAAACTTTGCCAGAGGCGGGCAAGCCAGAAGAGTGAAGAACATGAGGGCGTGGCCAATGCAAAGCCAGATTAAAATTATTTTCTTTTTTTTTATTTTTAAATGGAAAGTAATTCCCCAAGTGCGGCCATAAAACAAACTCTCAGTTCAGGGTGAAACTTTTCCATCATCTCCGGTTTCGGAATCTCGACATCAACACAGGCGAGAGAGAGAGAGGGATGCGAACTTTTCTGTAGGTTTTAACGACTTTGCATTGGTTTTCATGGCCAAAAGCAGTCAAGTTGGCTTTTATGGTTGACACAACATATTTTCCGACCGGCATTCCTTCTTTGGCAATTGGCAACTCTCACATATCCCAGATATCCACATCTCGACATCCTCCTCCCCCACACCAATCCTAATTGTTGCGCCCCAGGATTTTATGGCACTTTGAGAGCCATTAATCCGAATTTGATATCTGCTTAATTAGTTTTCCCTGCTTGGCTTTTATGGCCGGCACTCTCGTAAATTTTCATGATCGATTTGCGTAGCCAAAAGCGCGAAAAGAAAGACCATAGTCCCCAGATAACGAACGTAACACATCGTTTCAGATGGTGTTAAAAATTCAATTTAATTATTTCTTACTAGATCTTAATTGGCTTGTTTCTCGTAAAATAGAGTTACTGGGATCACCTGTAGAGTGATTATATATTACTTTTAAACACTTAAATTGTGCTTTTATATTTCCTTTTTATTTAAAAATCATATTGTATATTTAATTATAAAAAGTCTGTGTGTAAAATGATATTATTATCAGAGTTATACAATTATAAAAGTTAAAAAAGAAATAAGTTAAAATACCAAAAGTGGTTTTGGTTAATTTCTTGATTTCCACTGTCATTGTTTAGTTTCCTCGTTTGATTTTGCTTTATTTTTGGACTGTTCATTTTCGTCTGATTTCTTGAACTCTGCTTCATCCTCCAAGTCGGATAAATCATATCTGACATGGGCCTCGTAGAAATCAATTAGCATTTTAGAAACCTTAAGGTTAGCCACGTCCACTGGGATTAGCTCCGGGTTGGGCTGACCTTTAAATTGGATGCATATTAGTGTTTTTCCATCTTGATCTACAACAGTGATCACTTTTTCGGCTTCCAGTCCGCGATCAAAGCCATTAAGGTCCATTATTATCTGAAAGGGAGAAGGGTTTTGTTCAAATGATTAATTATTTTATTGAAACCCTAGTAAATTACAGATTAGCAACGCTCTTCTTCAAGAAAACGTTCTTTCTTAAGGGTTTATTAATATATACATAATATATTTATAATGTAATGGTTTAAACAGACAAAGGAAAGGGGACGTCACACTGAATTTAAAAGAAGCCATCGCAATCCTTGATACTGCTAGTGTTCCTTGATGACCTCTAACCCATCATTAGCCCGCAGCCAAGTCTAAAGTTGTTTTTGGCGTGATCAATGCGTCCGCATATGACCAAAGTAAAGGGCAAAGGATTCAATCGCTTCTCCAGGACACCAGAGATAAGCCAATTGGAATCGATGGCGCCTTTAAAGACCAGATCAGCCTTTGGCAAATCAAGCTGATAGACCAATGTGGCCACCGAATCCTTCATACGCAGGCTGGTCTGCAACTCCACACCGATTTGCAGTTCATCGTTTGCCCTTTGGTAGTAGCAGGCATGAAGACCACTCTGTCCCAGTGTCCCCGATAACACTGAGTTCTCTGCCGCATAGCGAGCGACAACAGAGACCTGTGCCACTTGACGGCCAGGAACATGTGGTCCGCACTGATAGGCCAACTCGGTGCCCAGGGCCAGGGATGATGTCATCGATTGCAGATATTGACCAACGATCATAACCGAGTTCGTAAATACACTGGGGTTGGCTATGGTCAGTGAGGTGGTGAAGTCACTGCCACGATAATCCATCGATAACTGCGTGGCTGCCGTTTTGGAATCCTGGATTTGGGTAGTGAGCTTCCAGCGCAAGCGTGGCGAAATCTGATGGATGACATTGGCATTGAGATTCCCCAACAAATCAATGTCGCCGAGGATCACGGGAAAGCCCTCAGCGATGGTAGTATCGCCCGGCTTAGTGCCCACATAGGTGGCACAGAACCGATAGCCACTGGGCACAGTCTGGCCCAAGTGGAGCGAGTGCGACACTTGGAAATGATTGCTCAGAACCTTGTACAGTATTATTTTGGCGCCCTCGAAGGTATTGGCCTGTATGTCTTTGTATTTCTTGTGCAACTCCTCAATGGTGCCGGGATTCTTTAGCTCCAGATCATTGGCAAGAGTGGAGGACTCGACGGTGGGCAGAGGAAGAGCCACTGGTACGGGCAGAACCTGGCTCCGTCCTGAAGACACCGCTAGAACGTTGCCCATTTTGTAGGTTCTTAAAAAATTAAAGCTGCAAAAATAATTTGATGTGAAAATCAATGACAAACTTATCTGGCAACCTTGGGGCAACACTGAATCAGTTTGGCAACACTGGTGCGTGCATGATGGAAGGTATAAAAGGTAGTTTCAAAGATCTTACTCTGTGTTCTTAAGTACGACAAAATGCATTCTATATAATTTGGTTTAGGTTGTTCAGGTTTCTTACCCCGCTCTTGGGAAGATAAGCCCTACTAAACGCTATACCCTTCTCAAAAGAAAGATGTTTTTTTGACCACCTTCTGTAGCTCCACCATGAGTTGCATATGCAGCATGTGGAACGTGCTGGTGCATTGGCCCCTGCTTTCGCTTTTCCCCTCGCGAGCTTTGCTTTTGCTTTTCCGCCAACAAACAATGCGAAATGCACTTTGATTGCTGTTGACCAACAAACTCGACGGACAGGCACGCGTCCATCTCAGCGAAAAGCAATTCACAGAGCAGCAGCCAGTGGTGGTAATGACCAGAAAGAGCTGCTAATGTGGCCAGCAGAAGCTGCCGCTTTGTTTGCAAGCTTTCGCGTTTTGGTCCAAGGTTCTATTTCTTTTTTTTACGTTTTGTGTAAAGGGGAATTCGTTGCGGCCTTTGTCCATTTGTGATGAGGACCGGCCCAAAGAGTGCTCGTCGGATATGCGACCATCAAAGCTATCAATTCCAGAGCGACATGGACATGTTCAAGAGTAAAAGCAGAAATTGAATGGGTAACTAAGGAACCCTCCTGCTCACGATTAAGTGAAGCTAATAGGGAAATGGCACTGGCTTCATCGCCTTTTATTGTCAATCCAGGCGAGAAATCGCATTCCAAAGCGACTCTGATTATATGGCAACTCACCCCTTTGATTAAAGCTAGATAATGGATACGACTTCCTTCTGCCACCTGATAAAATCCAGAAAATTCTGCACAAATTAGAGGTGGAGAACTATCGATGGCACTATCGACACTATCGATGGTTTTGCGCTATAGCACCGCCATCGATGGCAGCCCTGCACTATCGATAGTTTTGCACGCGGCTTATCACATCACAAAGAAAAAATAAAGTTGAAAGTGGAACGCCAAAATATAGTGAAAAGCTAAAGTATAGCTGAAAGTAAAAATCTCCTAATGCTCTTTTAAAAAAGAATTAGTTTTGTACATCTTTTCCGCTCGAATACACAGTTCGACGATGTACTTTTTATACAATCCCTAATCAAAAAAATAAATTAATTAATTAATTTTTATTTTTAAGGAGCTAAAAATATAATAAAGTTTTGTTCAAATTTCATTTTATAGCTTTTTTTACATCTAAAAATTAAAAAGCATAACACTACCGATAGTACTATCGACACTATCGATGGTTTGAGAAAAATAATCGCTCACTATCGATGGCGACGACTATCGATAGTTCTCCACCTCTAGCACAAATGGCCAATTTGTTGTGTGCCAGTGATGGGAGTTGCTAAATTGTCATGACGATATGGTGTTATCGATATTTTGCTATTACATAATTGAAAGATTCTTTTGGTATTCGATATTTTTTATATTTTTACCGAATGTGAGTAATTTTTCTGCTCGCTTTTAGTTTTAATTACCAACTGTCGCACCTGAGGCCAATTAATGTGGGAAAATGGTAAAAATATAACAACAAAATATAAAAAATAACGTATGAAACACACGAAGTGCCTGCAGAGTTGAAAACATTTCAATTAATTGAATTGTGTATGTCAGACCGATAGGCCCGATGTAATTCGTGTAAATATTTTCAATGACTTTAATTAACCAAAAACGTTGCAATTAATTGACTTTGCCCCGGTCAATTTAATTAATATTCTTTGTTGTTGTCAAAGGATGTACAGCATTTAGCTGCAAATTAGGTTGAATTTTTGCCCGCCAGGCATTAATCAAATTGTGTGAAAATTGCCTGCCAGCTTGAAAGTGTTACATATTTCATATGGCCTAGAAAAAAGTGAGCTTTTTTGCTGCTTTACAGTTTAATAAACAGATTTATTTGGCTGTTAAAATTACCCGGATGTTTAAAAAATGCAGCGACATTTATTCGGTAAATAGGTGGCTTAAGCAACAGCCTTCCAAAAACCCTTGGTTTTTCAGCCATTTTCCCTACTCTCTCTCTCTCTCTGTTTCGGTGAGAAAAACCGCTTAGAAAAGTGTCAGGCGAAATGAAATTCTTTATTTTAATAATGCAAGTTTGCACATTTTTAATTGTGCAGCCGACAGCTGCAAGAACTTGGCTGCTCACTTGACCCACAAAGGTGAGGCGACCACTGCAGCAGGCGTGGAAAACTGGTTTGGGGGAGGGGAAAAGCGTGGGTGGGGATGCAAGTGGGCAAGGTAAAGGCGACAGGCGACAAAAACCGCGCTTGCCATAAAGGGACGCTGGCAAGGACATTACGACTAAATGTAAACAGCTTAATTAAAAAATAAAACTCCGCTATGGCACGTACAAGGAAAAACAACGTACGGGGTAAATCCCACACAGCGTCGCCCACCTGGGGGAGGCTTTTCCAGCAGCACCACCGCACGTGTGTGTATGGCGCCGCTCTCTTTATTTGCTTAAATGCACAAAAGTGTTTTTAATTTAATTTTTTCGTCCCACACACACACATCTCTCTTCTACTTTGCTCTTTGATGCAGTTCCTAATTAAAACGAAAGTAATTTTTCATCAGCAACTGGGGTAAGTTAAAATAATTTTCTTGCCACCGCGCTAGGCAGCCATTGAAGTGCTCATTAAAAATATTTCAAGCCCGGTTTGCAGTCTTAAAAATACTTTAATAACTAAAAAATATAACAAGTAACAGAAATGTTTGCTTCGTTTTAAGCAAGAAATTTGAAATTATTTGCTATGAAGTCTGGCGCCAGTTTCTGTCGTCATCATCATCGTCAGCTGTTCGAGTGTTTTCCAAGTCGAAACTTTTCTTTTAAATATTTTCCATACTTATCCCCATGTGCTGGCAAAGTTTTATGCATACGCATTAATGTGAAAAGGAGAAAATGCGGAAAAACTGGTGTGTTTGTGTGTGGGGGTGAAAATGGGAGAATTCCCTGTGATGGTACTTGGAAAATGCAAGTACCCTTGCTCCCTCTTTATAAGTATTAAAAGCAATTGCCAGGCGGGGAGGTTTATTATAAAGTTTTGCAACCGATGATGATAACTTTTATTTTAGGCATGGTGAAGCAATAAGTCTTATTTGTTTTATGGGCAGATTTTCAAGTGGGAATTACGTACATCAAATTACAATAGAATCAATTTACAGGGGCATTTTTAAGATTTCAAGCCAGAAATAAATAAAATCCTTGAATAATAAATAATATAAGCTGGAAAATATTGTATATATTTTAAAACAAACGCGCGCTTCTTACCAAATACCTTGAAGCTTCCAAAAGATAACTCCAAATATTTATAAATACCTAATTTCGATAATAATTTCCATTACTCATTAATAATAATAATATTTCCCCTTTGTGGCAACCCTCGCAACTTAGTGAGCCATGCAGTGCATGCTTCCCCAATTTGCATGCCAAATTGTTTACTTCTTTCATTTCAATGTACTTTATCAATTTGAATTTGAGTTGAGTTGCATGTTTTGGGTACCCTTAGCATAGCTCTTGGGTGGTTTGAATTAGTTTCCCCAAATGAAATTTCCGCCAAAGAAACCATGAAAAATTGCTAGAGATTTCCGTGGATAAGCAACAATTTGATTTAGCGAGTTGACTGCACTCGAATGTCGTGCTTAAAGTTTTGTAGCTTTTTGGAAAATGGCTTTCCCCTCAAAAAACACTCACGAAACACCCACATATGGCCCACTCGAAACACCTGAGCGAGAGCTACCTGACCCACCTTGTACAGCCCGCCCTACCAAATGGTGCTATCAAAGCCGGCGAATGTCTATTTAATTGTGTCTGCAACGGTGTCGGCATGTCGATGTTTGCAAAACGCCTCATGCCACCACCCACCTTTCTAATGGCAGCATCAAATGCACTTTGGCCCATGGTAACGTTAACTGAAATACCTGGCTAGTGTTGTCACATTTATAAAGTAGAGAAATATAGCTAAATTAATTTATTTGAATGCAACTTATAATTAAATAAAATAAAATGAATGTTATAAACAGATGAAAAGGACCAACTTGAATTTGTTATTCAATTAATATATTTCCTTAAGTCGTTTTTTCATAATTTTATAGGGTATTATAACTTTAGTCAAAAGCTTAAAAGGCTGTGAAGGAGTCATTTCCGACCCTATAAATATATATATATATTCTTGATCAGCAGCAACAGGCGAATCGTTCTAGCTATCTCTGGCAGAAAAAAGTTTTCAATTTTTTTTTTCGAAATTTTTTGTGGGTTACGACGTTAAAATTAAAAAAAAATGGCGTAAAATTAAATTTTTTTTAAATTATAAATTGAGTATGCAGATTTATTGCCCTCATTAAAACTAACATAGGAATGATTTCCGAATTGAAGTAAATGAATTTTTGGCTTAGTTATGAGGTTTTGAAACTTTGATTTGTCGAAAAAATTGTCATAAAAATATCATTAATATCTATTAAAAAGTAAGAATATTTTAAGCTTAATTAAGATTTATTTCTTATGGCAAACTGCAAGAGTAAACTTCTGCTTTACAAATAAGTTTCTTTCTAGTTTAAAATATTAATAAGAAATTTAAAATTATAAAATCAATTTAAATATGACCATATTCAGCATGAACCAGAATAAAAGCCAAGTTGGCCACACTGGCTTAATCGCAGGGGTTGCAGCGCTGAGAGGCTGCGGCGCGGTGGCCACACCTGCAATTCGAAATGTGAAACGGGAGTGTGTGTGTGCGTGTGTGGGTGGGTGTACAGATGGGTGGCAAATAAAGTCATAAAGTCTGATTTCGCCTGCTCAAGCTCATTATCACGTAGCGATGTCGTGTAATCGTCATACTCACGATAATGATGATGTTAACCAAGTGGAGATCGCAAACGCTCCTCCTCCTTCTCCTCATTTCTTTTGAGTGGTGTGAATCCCATTTATTTTCCTGCATCTACGCTATGCTAGTAAACTTTCTGACCAAAACTGACACTTTCATGAAACAATTTAAAAAGTCATTGTCATCTCCTCCTTTGCAGAGTAAGTCCCTACTTCCCGGCGCCTTTTTAACTGTCCTGTCAATGGCAACGTCATTTGTTTTGTTGCCCATTACGACGACGACGAAGACGACGGTCAGTGTCCTGGCCGAGTTGAAAACAAAATGGTCATGGCTCCCTCCTTCAGAGCTTTACTCCAATTGGAACCGAAGTGTGTGTGGCAAGCACCGCCATACATTATCTAGGGCAGTATCACACGACTTGGTCAAGCGGTTTGTCTCCTTTACACCTCTTGTAACCGAGGTGATAGGGTGTCTTGGATGCGTCCTAGAGCTCCGCTTTGTTTTGAGCTCGTAAAACTTTTTTAACTATGAGAGTTTCGGTTATCCTTTGTCTTTGCCGCTTACGTGACAGTGCAATTTCGAAAATAATTTTCAAGTCTTTCCTCCTAACCGAAATTGTTTTGAGTTATTGAAAAAGAGGGGGAAAAATATTAAAGTACTTTAAAAGTTTCAAGGGGCGCTTCTTTAAGACCACCCTTAATAGTTTTTACTGGCGAATGCAATTAGTTCATCACTAAATGGAGATTTATTTCACACCACCATCGAGGGATTTCCTCTGGAATGTGGCAGCACTTTTGATTAAGGGACAATAACCTTACAGCAAATGTTGCAGAAATTCATTATTGCATCGTAATGACAGAGAGGGAGAAAGGCAAAGGAGCAGCAGCAGTTGAAGCACCAGATGGCAATGGCTCCCAACAGTGTAATTTGTGCGAACCAAAGCCACAGGATTTTATTGAGCGGAAAATTAAAAGCATAAAATTGCACGCTTTAAATTTTGAGTGCAGCGAAAACTGGCAGCAACAGAAGCCACCATTACCACACCCGCAAAGTGTCGGAGCATGTAGCTCCAAGATTGCCACAAAGAAGCAGGATCCAGTCCTTTTCTCCCACAACTTCTCCCAACTCGCATACTAAATTCAACTTATTGACAGGCGCTTGCCGACGAGGAACGTGTTCCGATAAGCGGTCAGGTGAGTGAGCTGCACCTGTAACCTGGCCTGGTAAAGATTCCAACAGTTGAAAAATGGCCACATTGGCATTAGTTCAAAACCATGAATCTTGCCAAAGGGACAGCGGGAGCTAAACTTAATTAAAAATTTATGACAGAATTATATGTGCATTGGAAGTCAAGGCATACTTTGCTTATCAGGGATATTTCTGGTACAGAAAATATATATGGAATTAAACTAAAGAAATTATGTAACGATGAAGCTTCTTATATCAATATTAACTCAAGTTTGACAGGATGACAATAAACAGGGAACTTAAATCATATCTGATCCATTTGAATTATCAAAATAAGATTAAAATACAGCGTTGGAGTCATCAAAGAGCTCCTTTTGGAAAGAGTGATGAGTAGTCGTCATAAAATTTTATTCAAGTGGTACTACGTCCCATCCTGGGCATAATCGGTGGCATCCATTCATCAAAGACGGGTATATCGAACAGCGGATGATTGTTGAGAATGTCGAAGCGAACGACCTTGTAGGTGGATATAAGCCACTGGCCCATGCATCGATTGTTATCCTGCACGTTGCCCATTTTGGTGGGTGTCACCGAGTAGTCGCGTCGGAAGCGCATAAAGATCTCGGCAAAGATCAGGGGATGCGGCACTAGGAGTTGCGTGGAATCCACATATTGATCCACCAGCTCCGCCATTGCACGCTGTTCCGTTGGCGAACGAAAGTCGTTGGACCGTCGCAATGCCACATAGACCACGTCTAAGAAGGCGAACCTGTGGTCATAGTGCCGCAGAAGCTGCACCTTCAGTGGTATGGCCCGCCGGATGTGATTCCTTTCAAAGCGCATGAGGTCGAGACGCCAGTCGGTTGGATCATCCAACAGGTCGTGTTTGATCTGCTTGAACCCCATGGGTGTGCTGCAGCGCTCCACATTTCGGTTACGCCGGCGCCGCACAAAGTCGGTAAAGACGACGGCAGCCTGGCATGAGTTCTCCAAGAAGTTGGACTCGGAGAAATCCCAGTCCCAGAGCAACTTTAGCTGCAGAATCGACAGTTTGGTGACCAGCCGGGTCAGCGGACTGTAGAAAAACACCATCGATGGCAATGATATCTGATGGGGCTCATCCTTAGACACCACCACATCCAGTTCGATGTCCAGATTGCGGTTCGATGGAGATGGAGCTGGAGTTGGTGATGGTTGTCTTGCACCACGTGTTCTATGGCTACCAGAGGAGGAGGTGGAGCCCAGTCTGGCGAAGGCATGGTGCAGCAGGAAGCGCGGGCGCCATTTGTACAGCAGCTGCCGTTGTATCTTCATCATTACATTGCTTAATTTCGTTATAATTTAGTAACACAAGAGCCGGAATAATAATCAAAGTGAACGGAATTCATATGGTCTAAGGTTTTGTAGGTTTATGTAAATAAGCACTTGGCATTGAATGCTCAGGACTCCGTGTGATAGGATCAGGGGAATAGAGACATTTGTCAATGCAATTAGATTCCCCCATATTCAGCAGCTTACACTGGGAGATGAAATTTTAGAACACTTGAGATTAAAATATACATTTTTTAAAGGTTTCTTTAACTATTTTTTAAGAAATAAGCAAGGCATAAAAAACCATAATCTAGAATATGGCTTAGAATCTCTTGTTTTTCTCAATGTAACTTAGCATATAAGCGACAGAACAATAAGGTTCTAATTGAGCCGACATGGTAGGGAATTAGATCCGCCAGAGAGGACTTCTAGCTCCCGCAGGAGCTTCTGTGCGCCGACATTGAATCAACAGCCTGTAATTATCGAATGCATTAGCAAAATGCAGAGTGCAACTCCTCCTCGCTCCTCGCTCCACGCCCTCACCTTTTCAACGCACCTTTGACTTGGCCTTGGCCCATCCTGAGACCACCCACCCGCATTGGTTTGCCCAAGCGTTCATTTATCCGGTCCGGGATCCTGGGGAGATATATACAAACAATGCTAATAGGGAGCCCGGCCGGCAGACACTCAAATAGAGCGTCCTGAAACCTTAGTCCTGTTCAGTGTTTGCCATTATTATCAATCCCTACATCGGGTTAATTGCTTGACAATTGATTTCGTTTGCAAAATATGCAAATGTTTTGGCATAATTCAATGAAAATCTACTTCTAATTGAGAGCAGGAGAGAAAGAGTACAGTTGCCTCAAAGTATGTACAGTTAAATGTTTTGTTTATAATTTAAATAATTTAAAAATAAGTACAGTCTATTTATTATTCACTAAACAGTTACAGTTGCCTTAAAGCATTTAGGAAAACTCATAAACTGAAATGTTAAATTGAAATTCCAATTATTTATTTAGCAGTGTAACGATTAAGGTGTACAGCCTGCAGCTATTATTTGTCGAGTTAATTTCACAAAATTAAGAGGGGAATTCTGTGTTATTCTGTTTGTTTGCCTTTGGAATGTTAAATTTATTGTCTGTCGTTCTTCGAATAGAAAAATCCTTCAACTGCGTATGCAAATCCCTTACACGAAATCGTTTCAGTTTGATGCCTACAACGAGGGTCTTAACTATTCAGAGGATACAATGCTGAAATGCCAACCCATCCATCCATGTTTGATGCCGTCGATTTATCAAACGAAATATGAAATGAACGATACGGAATAAACCTACGACAATGAAGTTTGACGACGAGTATATATGAATAAATGCAACAAAAATAGAGGAGCGAGTGAGCATGGAGATGGTATCCTTCGTACACAAAATCCCCATGTAATCCCCGGCCAAAACAGAGCACCGAGATGTATCATCACAATAAAATATGTTAAGTAAATACGGAAGCGGACGGGAGGCAGAGCGAGGGGGAAAACTAAACAATAAGCCAAAAAGTACGCTTGATTAAGTTTAACTTCCGGTCTGTTATAAATTGAGCATTTATGTGGGATTTGTTTGCGAAAACAGTTTCGACTTTACCAAGGCCCTTTCACACAAACAAACAAAAAAATTCTATCCATCCATCGGGCTGCCAAACGAGACAAATGTTTAGGCCAACACACACACACACACACATCTTGTATGTCTATTTCCGGCGGAAGTGGTGAATAAAACATGAAACGAAATAAAATGACGGGGGCAGCGCAGAGGTGGAAAAACGAGAACTTTTAGTGGCCAAAAGCGAACATCCGTGGGCCCTGGCCCAGAGTGAGATTTTGCTGTTTTGTTTTGTTCAGTTTTATTTTGTTTGGTTCACTTTGGGCGCAAATGGCTAAATTATTCCTGACCCGGCCAATCGAAGGGTCCAAATAAAAATTAAATGGCAAACATTTTACCGAGACGGCAGAGCTCAGGCTGGACTCTCGAGCTTCTCTGGCAGTTAATATCCGTAGATAAAATATTCAATTTCCCCCCAGAATGACAAACTTAGGAAATGGTCAGAGTCACAGATTCACCTGGCTGGCTGCAAAGGAACAACGATATGGAAATAGCATCGATGTCGAATGTCTTCATATATGTACTATTTCCGTTTATCAGATATCATTTTGCAGTTGGACATCTTGAGCATCCTGAATATTATAATCTCTTGTTGTTTGCTCGTTGAAATCTCAATTATCCTTATTGCCTTGCCGGTGGCCATCAAGGAGAAAAAGGGACTTGGGTCATAAACTACAGACCAAATCCATTTGCTAGAGTGCTTCATTAATATGTCGCTTTGATTGACCGCAAATTATTATTATTTGGCAAGTAATTCCTAAACCAAGGTTCTAAGCAACTTATATAGAGTCTTTACAGAGGCTGAAACACATACTATTTGCTAGCTAAATAATGATAATTGCCTTTTCTCCCCTTTTAAAAAATTTAATATTATTACTATTACTATTACTATTTTTGCTGTCTTCACCTATCACCTATGACAATAGTAAGCGGCGGGGACGCTGCCAAATCCGTAAATGGTATCACATTGTGGGGCACACGGTGGCGGCACACATGGTGGATACGCAGAACCGGAGCAGGGAACAAAGCAGGGCAGGCAACTCCTTCTGCATCCCGCTCCGCCTCCCGCTCCGCATCCTGATCCACATATTCCTCGGCAGGGACGTGGATCACATCTCTGCCTCCGGATGGGCCTATGCATTCTGCAAACCAAATCATTCGGGGGATAACCGTACACCTTTTTGGGCACTTTCTTAACCTTTTTCTTAGGCTTGGGTTCGGGTTCAGGCTCAATCTCGGATTCGACTGGACTCAAGAGTCGCAATTCGGAAATCTTGGTCTCGAAAACTGCATCCTGGTGGATGGATTTTCTACCGGCCTTCTGTGAAAGTGTCTGCTGTCTATTGGTCACCTTTACGTGAATGGTGCTCTTCTGACTAAAGTCGGAGGCCAAGGGTTTAGCCACCAAATTTCCTTCCTCGTCTTCTATCATTCTTGAGGTTTCCGGTTGCTCTTCTAAATCCTGATTTTGCTTTTCAAATTGGTGAACCAATACAGCATGCGAGTGTGCTACCTTCGGTTGGTTATCTTTCGGGTGCAGTTTTATAGTTTTGAAGGCTACTGGCTTAGGCACCAAATTGGCTTTCGAGTGTTTTTTCATAGTGGATGCTCTTGTTGGCTCTTTCCAGTTTTGTTTCGTATTTTTGAAGGCTATCGACTTAGCTGTTTGCCTCCTAGTGTTCTCCTTCAAATTTTTCTTTGAGATATTCCTACAAAAGAAAGGATAAATATGATGCGATTGTATATTTGCATCACTTACAAAACCTTACATGGAAACGGGCCTTCTTATTGGGCTGTTGTTCGCAATAGATTTTTTCTTTTCCCTGTTGGAGGGCGATGGGATATTGGATGGACGTTTGGAGGCGATTGGTTTGACTGGCGGACTTGGAGCGCCGGGCAGTGAGCCCTTCGAGTACCTAACCTCTTCGGGTCCGCGGGGCAGTGTGGCATTTGAGTACCTAACCTGTTCGGATCCGCCGGAGAGTGCGCCCTTCGAGTCCCTCACCTCTTCGCTTCCGTCGAGAACTGTCTTTCCTTCCTTCTTACCACTTTTATACTCATTTTCCTTCTCAAATTTCTCATTAGTTCGGTAGAGGCGCCGTTCCGATGGGGGTGTGGGTAGATCATTTAGGTTTGTCATTATCGGCTCTAGCACCGAATATCTCACTGCCTTGTCAGGAACAACTATTGAGTCAGGATCGATCTCTTCTTTGAAATGGGTCTGAACGCGTTGGGGATCATCGGGATTGGATGACACGACGCGACTCGTTACCTGACTCTTTGTGGGCTTACTGCCATCGTTCGGGACAACTGTGACGGTTTGTATCTCATCAACTAGAACCTCCACCTCGCCATTACGGTGTCTCACCTCCCTTTCCTGTGTCGTCACATCGATGATCTCAATTCGATCGGGAACCGGAGGTTCAGGGCAAGGAGGTTCAGGCTCGGTTTGGACACTTACTTCGTGGGTCACCAGGCACATGCACTCGCACGAGCAGCATTTTATCGGCCTGCAGCATTTTCTTTTACGCCGACATTTCGGTTTACATTTCCTGGCATCCTTGTCCAGGCAAATGGCAAAAGAAGTGTCCTGGTAACAGCACCTCGGAGGTGGTGGTGGATTTTCCTGGCAATAGTACCTCTGAGGAGGTGGTGGATTGTCCTGGCAACAGTACCTCTGAGAAGGTGGCCGTGGCTGGGGTTCACAGCACCTCCGAGATGGTGGTGGAGGCTGCTGGTCACAGCACCTCCGAGGTGGTGGTGGTGGCTGCTGGTCACAGCACCTCCGAGATGGTGATGGTGGCTGGGGTTCACAGCACCTCCGAGATGGTGATGGTGGCTGGGGTTCACAGCACCTCCGAGGTGGTGGTGATGGCCGCTGGTCACAGCACCTCCGTGGTGGTGATGGCTGCTGGTCACAGCACCTCCGAGATGGCGATGGTGGCTCCTCTTCGTAGCACCTTCGAGATGATGTTGGTGTGTGCCGTTCACGGCATTTTTGCGGTGGTGCTTTTGAGACCCGTTCACGGCTTCTATGCGGTGGTGCTTTTGGTAGTCGTTCACGGCATTTCTGCAGTGGTGGTAGTGGCGGTGGATGTCCACAGCATCGGCACGGTTCCCAATAGTCACAATTTAATTGCTGACTGTCAGAGTCTTCATATTCCGGGTAGTCCTGCAGAAGGGAGTCCGAATATTCCTCATTTAATTCCTTCCTTTTATACTCTCGAGGATTATCCTGACCAGCATCCGGGCGATCAATTATTTGCCTTCCACATCCCCTGGTATATTTATTAGGCATTCCTCGATAAATTTTTGAATATATACAGGAATTTAGCATATCCGGAGGGCCACAAGTCTTAGGTTTCTTGGCTATTTTGGACTTCTGCCAACCGAATCGAGAGCGAGCATTCGTTCGGGGCTCTTTAAACGATCTGCAGTGGTTCAACATAGCTAATAGCCTGGACCTTAACTATGGACTAAGACAGTTCACTTCTTGGACTCTTTTTTCGGGACAAAAGAGGAAACATTTAACAATTTTTTGTTTGAGAAAACATCGAAAGGGATTTTGTGTACTTATTTTAGAGGCAACACTGATAGAACAAAGTGTGCTAGATCCCCTAAAAATCTACCTACCAAAGTTCTTAGCAGCATTTAAGGAGACTGAACCTCGAGTGATTATAGATTTTTTAAAGTACTGCGTCTGCAGAAGGCTCAAGCTTTCAGTATTATCATTATGATTACTATATATCGATAGATACTAAGGCGATGAGCGAAAGTGAAGATAACGAAGAAGAGATTTTTAATAAAAGATCCAAGGCGGCATATCCTTTTCTATTCTTTCAACAAAAAATTTATTACTATTACGTTTACTATTTCTATGAGCACCTCTATCACCTGTCACAATAGTTTGTAAATCCGATGGGAACGAACTGCATGGTACATACCGATGGTATGTACGGTGGATAGATAGAACTGGAGCAGGGTTCGTTGCGGGGCTGGTAATGGCTTTTGCGTCCCGCCCTGCGTCCCGCTCTGCATCCAGTTCCACATCCAGTTCTACATCCCGTTCCATAGCAAGCACCACATCCCGCTCCACAGCAAGCTCCATATCCCGATCCACATGGCACTCTGCAGTTCGGTACGCAACATTTTATCTTCCTTCTGCAAACAATATCGTTCGAGGGATAAGCGTTTTTCATATCCATTCTTATCCTGCACTTTGGCTTAGGTTCGGGCTCAGGTTCGGGACTGGGAGTGGGCGTGGGTTCTGGCTCGGATTCTTCCTCACTAACAGGACTTAAGAGTCGCAATTCGGAAATCTTGGTCTCGAAAACAGCATCCTGGTGGATGGATTTTCTACCGGCCTTCTGCGAAAGTGTCTGCTGTCTATTGGTCACCTTCACGTGAACCGTGCTAATCTGACTGAAGTCAGAGGCCACTGGTTTGAGCACTAAATTCCCATCCGGATCTTCTATTACCTTGGGGGCTTCCGGTTGCTCTTCTAAATCCTGATTTAACTTTTCGAATTGGTGAACCAATACAGCATGCGAGTGTGCTACCTTCGCTTGGTCTTTCGAGTTGTCTACCGTCTTGGAAGCCTTCGTTGGCTTTCCCGAGTCCAGCGAAACAGTTTTGAAAGCCACCGGCTTAGCCGTTTGCTTTACATCCTTGATATCGTCCTTCCTTATAATTTCCTCTGTTTCCGATTGCTCTTCAAAGTCCTGATTCAAAATGTGGAATTGTTTAATCACAGGCCCATCCGAGTAGTCTACCTTCTTGGGGGACTTCGTTGGCTCTCCCGAGTCCAGCCTAATAGGTTTGAAAGCCACCGGATTAGCCGTTTGTTTCAGATCCTTGATATCCTCCTTGTTTACAATTTCCTCTGTATTAAATCTAAAAACGAAAAAAGTAAATATGATGCGATTGTATATTTGCATCACTTACAAAAGCTTACTTGAAAACGGGCCTTTTAGATGGACTGTAGTTCCCATTAGAGTTTTTCTTTTGCTTCGATGATAGCAGTTCCCTGTTGGAAGGCGAGCTTATCTTGGGAGAACGTTTGGACCCTTGTCGCCTGGATGGCGGACTTGAGGTGACGGACGAAGTGATCTTTGAGTCCCTAAACTCTTCGGGATCGTCCATTACTGTCTTGGTCACCTTCTTCCCATAATTGTACTCATTTTCCTTCTCAAATTGCTCATTAGTGCGATAGACGCGGCGATCCTTCGTTTCCGATGGTGATGCATAGCCCGATGGTGGTGTGGGTAGATCCTTTAGGTTTGTCATTATCGGCTCTAGTACCGAATATCTCATTGCCTTGTCAGGAACAACTATTGAGTCAGGATCGATCTCTTCTTTGAAATGGGTCTGAACGCGTTGGGGATCATCGGGATTGGATGACACGACGCGACTCGTTACCTGACTCTTTGTGGGCTTACTGCCATCGTTCGGGACAACTGTGACGGTTTGTATTTCATCAACTAGAACCTCCACCTCGCCATTACGGTGTCTCACCTCCCTTTCCTGTGTCGTCACATCGATGATCTCAATTCGATCGGGAACCGGAGGTTCAGGGCAAGGAGGTTCAGGCTCGGTTTGGACACTTACTTCGTGGGTCACTACGCACATGCACTCGCATGAGTAGCATTTCATCCGCCTGCAGCTCTTTCTTTTGCGCAGTCTTTTTCCTCTACAGTTGAAAGTGTCCTGGCAACAGCATTTCTGTGGTGGCGGCGGCATGTCCGGGCAACAGCATTTCTTAGGTGGTTGCGTATCGTTCGGGCAACAGCATTTCTGAGGTGGTGCCGGATGGTCCGAGCAACAGCAATTCTGATGTGGCGGTGGTTTGTCCTGACAGCAGCACCTCTTTGGTGGTGGCGGATGGTCCGGACAACAGCACCTCTCAGGTGGTGGCGTATTGTCCGGACAACAGCACCTCTCAGGTGGTGGCGGATGGTCCGGACAACAGCACCTCTCAGGCGGCGGATTGTCCGAGCAACAGCATTTCTGAGGCGGTGGGGGATTGCCTGAGCAACAGCACCGCTTTGGTAGTGGCGGATTGTCTGAGGAACAGCACCTCCCAGGTGGTGCCGAATTGTCTGGACAACAGCATTTCTGGGGTGGTGGTGGAATATCCGGGCAACAGCACCTCTTTGGTGGTGGCGGATTGTCCGGACAACAGCACCTCTGAGGTGGTGGTGGAATGTCCGGGCAACAGCACCTCTTTGGCGGTGGCGGATTGTCCGGACAACAGCACCTCTCAAGTGGTGGTGGAATGTCCGGGCAACAGCACCTCTTTGGCGGTGGCGGATTGTCCGGACAACAGCACCTCTCAGGTGGTGGCGGATTGTCCGGGCAACGGCATGGCTGAGGTGGTGGTGGATTGTTTGGGCAACGGCATCCTTGAGGTAGAATGTCCGGGCAACAGCACCTCTCAGGTGGTGGATTGTCCGGGCAAAAGCACCTCTTAGGTGGCGGTGGTTGTGGCTGCTGTTCATAGCACCTCTGAGGTTGTGGTGGTGGATGCTGACAATAGCACCGCTGAGGTGATAGTGGTGGCTGCAGTCCACGGCATTTCTGCGGTGCTGCTGGTGGCTGCTGTTCACGGCATTTCTGCGGTGGTGCCGGTGGCTGCTGTCCGCGGCATCTCTGCGGTGGTGCTGATGGCTGCTGTCCTCTGCATCTCTGCGGTGGTGGTGGTAGCTGTTGTCCACAGCATCGGCAGGGTTCCCAAAAGTGCCAAGGTGATTGATGGCTACTGTAGTTTCCATATTCCGGGAACTCTTGGAGAACTGGCTCCGAATATTCCTGAGTTAATTGCTGCTTTTTCTGTTCTCGAGGAATATTTTGAGCGGCATCCGGGCGATCAACGATTTGTCCTCCACAACTCCTGCTATCTTTGGGTGGCATACCCCGATAGTTTTTTGAACTGATTCGTAGTTCGGAATTCCCCGCGGGACTCCAAGTCTCAGGCATCGTCGCTCTATTGGACATCTGCCAACCGAATCGAGGCCGAGCATATGGGCAGGGCTCCTTAAACGATCTGCAGTGGTTCGACATAGCTATTTGCCTGGTCCCTACCTACGGACTATCACAGATCACGTCTTGGACTCTCTTTTGGGAAAAAAGGAGGAAACATTTAACAATTTTTTGTTTAAGAAAACATCGAAAAGGTTGTATGTTGTTGTAGGGGGCACCTCTAGAGCAAGGCATTCTAGATACTAAAACGCACCCTAAAGCTACCTTGGATAGTGCGTCTCATATAACAAAAGTCCCATCAGCTTGGAGGACAAAGGATGTGATCTACTCTAGCTATATATATATAAGCCATACTCTAAATGTATTATTTCCTACGAAAAGATTATTTATAATTTAATTTCGGCTTCCATCTTGCATTATGGTTTACCTATATAAAGATCTTTTAACAAAGATTAATGTGTTTCATATCTACTATGAAGTAAAGGTTCAACTAGGTACCCTTGACTTCACTTTACCCAAAAGTCAGTTCTAAAAACGATCTCTACTTACACACCACATTCATCTTTTTTTTGATATAACGAAATTTTTTGAGTACGAAATTTTTTGTGGACGCCATGAGTTTCCAGAAGCAGCTAGGTGACTTCAACCGGAAGCTGGACTTGGCTCCATGGTATTTAGGCATTTCGACACTCCAAGAGGAAGTCATATGCACCATGCACGAGAAACTGCGCGATGACTACGAGCAGGGAACGGGCTCGACCATGCATCGTGCTTTGGTTGTTCTGGGCATTAGGCCAATGTTATCCACCAGACAAATCAAGCGATTGGTCCAACTCAGCAGGAACGACGTGCTGGCCTTCCTCTTCTTTGTGCTCGAAGGCTACTACAAGACCTGCCGCCCTAAGGGCAGTAATGTATATAGCGTCAATGAGCAGCTGCTGATGATAGCCATATTCAGGATCGATTTACTACCGACGCTTCGTGCCCTGGATGGGCTACTACCGCCACCACAGCTCCATCCGCAGGAGATTAGACGGATGAATAGAGCCGCGAAAGAGAAGGTTCTAGTTCGTGAAACCACAACGCCAATCGCCGCAGCAGGTCCTGCAAAGAAACACAAGCAGAAGTCACCTTACTACCAAAAACAGCCCAAGCCCGTTCAGCGTTCGTCGAATTTGACCCCTCAATTACCCGATTTTGTGGTGGAATTCAAATTCTGGCCTAGAAATGGTCAGCCCAATTATGGCGAGGAGCCGGAGGAGCCCTGGTTTGCCAAGTATCACCTTAACCCCGGCCTGCGTATGATCAAGCAGACCTTGTCGGATACGCTGGATAAGTACTTCAAGGATGTTAACGTCCATGATAGCAAAAAGGACGAAGACGACGAGAATGAAACTGAGAGTCAAAAGCCAAAGGTCAATATGTGCTTATTCCACAAGGAACAGTTAATGAACACCCAGCTACTAAAGGATGAGCTGACGGTCAAAGCCCGGGATCGGTGCCTAGAACTCTTGGACGTTACGGAGCCTTACAGCAAGCTACGTAAAAAGAGGATCGTGGCCCAGCTGGAGGATGACATCGATCTGATTATGGATCGCCATCGCCGGGCTATGCACTGTGACCAGACCAAGGTTCTAACCATCGAGGACACAGAATGCGTACTGTGCCAGCAGATGTTGGTATCTCAGCCCTGGCCAGAGCCCAATGACCAGGTGGGACGAGCTCTGGTCGGTGAGGATTGTGGTATGGCCCACACGGCTGCTCTGGATAACTATTGTGGTCGGAGATTGGAGGGAGGCAAGTCGGTAAGTAGAATACATAAAACTTGCTTCCTTGTTGATCTACAGTCGCAGTCTGGAAGCACTCTTCAATTTTTGTAACCATTCAATCCAACAATCTAGGCCAAGAATGGAAAAAAGGATAAGAAAGGGAAAAAGGATAATGCAAAAAAGGCAGAGCCTGAACCTCCAGTGGAGCCTCCGAAAAAGGAGCCCAAGAAAAAGGTTCCGGAATGGAAGCCACCGCCTCTTAAACTTCGCAATGAACCATTCCGCATAACCAATATCGACTTCAAGGAGAAACTGAAGAAATGTATACCGCCGCAGAATCTTTCGGAATGTGAAGTTCCGCCGGCACCCAAAAAGTCGGCCGTCTCCTTTGCCCTGGCCATGGGAAAAATCCAAAAGAAGGGGCAAAAGTGCGAGATACAACAACCGACGAGGAAAGTGGTCAAGAAGAAGTTCTTCCGGGCATCGAGATCAAACAAACCGTATCAGTTCAAGTACCATCGGGTCTTTCAATCCGGTCAGCCGAAACCCTTTGACCTCAATCGATTGATGACCAAGTCATTTGTGAAGGCGCTAAAAGTATCGGATTTCGATGATCCAAATAGGGTATTCGATATCGCTAATGCAGCGTCAGAATTGCAACTACAAGAGATCCCTCCAGCAGAGGAATCCCAACTGGAGACAGTGCCGCCACCAGATCTTCAAGAAAAACTAAACGATGATCTCTTTGGGGAGGAGAAGACCGAACGTGATAGTCGCGAGACCCTGGATCGTTCCAGCAACCACAGTCAGCACAGTCATGTCGACTACAAGGCCCAGATTGTGGAGGCGGTGGTCCAATGTGCCAACACCATTTGGCAAAGGCATGCCGCCTTCAAGCGGGCCGAAATGGAGCAACAGGAGCGGATGACCAAGCGGAAGGCGCTGCATTACGTGGAAGGCGAAAAGTTTGATCCGGATAATGCCGAGCAGATGAATCGACTGCTCAAAGATGGCCTCCGGATTCTGAGTCGGAATCCACGTTATGTGCTGGCCAGTCTACCGGATTGCCATAAGTTACCCGTTTTTCGGGAGTGGATCAAGCGGCGATTTGGCAAGGCCTACTCCCAGAAGGAGCTGGAGGCCAGCTTGGTGGAGTCAACTAGGATCTTTGAGTTGGTCACCTTTGTTCAAGGCATTTTACCAAATCCCAATCTCCAGGGCCTGGGACGTCTACCCAGAGAACAGGAGAACTTTAACTACTACAAGGAGATCAAGAAGACGGTAAGTGGAGAACCTCTCTCTGAAAATAAAGCTATGGAAATTCTAATTTGCCCTCCATAGGCCACCGTTGTCAAGGACGACTTTCATAGCCAATTGAACGAACAATATATGAATAGTATATCCTCCGCGTGGTATGCCATGGGTAACTATTTGGTTCCAAGTGGTCCTCCGCGCAGGACCTTCTTTGCCTACATGGCCTCCAATCCGAATGAGATAATACGAGCGAAAACTTGGAATGGAGATTTTCGAAACTATTGCCAGATGAGAAATAGACGCAGGGAGCTGGAGAACTAAGAGAATCAATCCATTGTATTTTAGACCAAAGTTGACTTGGAGCAGAGTTTCACAGACCCATCTTAGGGGTGAATCCCCTTGCCACTTTTGTGTTCAAGATTCAGCTCAATCCAATTGCGTTTAGGCGGCCGGCAAACAAATTCAGTTAATTATGCAAACCAGAAAGATGTTTTCACAAATATAACCCACACATTTTCCCTTAAAACCTTGGTCCCCAAGGAAGAAGTTAATCTAATTCGGGTGCCATGTAAACACAGTCCCTTTTTTCCGGTGAATCATGTGGAATTTGTTGGCCAAAAGTCCCTTGCTTTTATTTTTTTTTTTTAAGATATATTAGACCCGAGCATATTTATGGTCAACCGCTGACGTTTGCTATTTTACGGGCATTTCACATTTGCATAGAGGAGATACATCATTTGATGGCAAATATTTGTAGGTTTCTGTATCAACAAGTTGGACAGGATGGATAGTATCTACTCTCCCGGCTGTTAACTTGGCTTCCACTGGAACATGAGGGGAAATCCCGCTGTTAGCTTGTGTTCCACAAACGAGAGAGTCGGAGAGAGTACTCTCTTTTCTTGCACCAAAAGAGCACTAAATTGGATGGTAATCGGTTCAAGTCTTATGCCACTGGTTTGGCTTTAGTCTTGTGCCGCAACTTGGGGGATTTGGATGCCTGAATGGATGGACTGATGGTACTGCCAGTGGGTTAACACACCACTGACCCACTTGCTGCCGTTTGCTGACCTTTCACACGCACCTCCCAATTGCAGGATAAAGTGCTGAGATGCGCGAAAACGCGAACCAACTCCAATTAAAATCGAGTTACAATTTCCGTTTTGACGGCTTTTTTTTTCTATCTTCTCCTCAACTGCCAATTTTCTTGGCAATTTCTTCACCTTGCCATGGCTTCCAATTGAAAATTATGCATGCAAAGGCAATCTGGAATCCAGAACATAACAGACAATTAGAGTGGCAACACGAAAAAAAGGAAGGCTTAAAACCAGTTGGGTGTTAACTGGTAAAGTGGAGAAACCAAGAAAAAAAATTGGTTAAAAAGATGTCAGATAAAAAATCATATTGTTTCAATAATACTTTTGGATATATGCTTCTTACAAGTCCTTATTACTTATTTATATATTATTATTATCATTATTATCTTTGATTTGCATTAATATTAGTTTCAAGTAAGCCACTTTAAGATTATGATATTCCTGTACTTTTACTACTTTTATTATTATTATTTCTAATTTAATTACTTATTAAGGGCTCACATTTTCTCTCAGTGCATCCTGCTTAACCCCTTAACATCAGATTCCTTTTAAAACTGCCGAAGCATTCTCAAGAGCTGTCTGTCGTCTGGTGTGTTTTTTTTAGTTCTCAACTAGTTCTTTGATTTGCTATTCACTGCTAAAAATTTCCCTTTCTATTGCCGATTTCTAGATAAAAATCTCGTTCGTCTTGGTTTCTTTTCTTTCTTTTTGTCGAGTAAAACTGCGACACTCAATCAGTTGACAGATGAAATTATACACCCAGAGAGACTGGGGACTGGGGCAGGTGCTAAAAGGATCGCCGCAGGGAAGGTGATGTAGAGGAGCTGGAGGAGAACGTGTGAGGCTGTCAGAGACAAGGACCAGCACCTGTGTGTTTGCTGGAGTATACCTGGGCTTTATCCCATCCCGCATCACCATCCCAGGCAATGTATGGATAAATATGAGAGAGGGGCAAAAAAAAAGCGGCAATATGAAAGCCCAGCAAAAAGTAGGGAATCGGAAATCGGGGTAACGGTGAACTGTGAGGGAACCGAGAGAATATATATGAGAAATGTACATTTGGACAGGCTACACACAAACGACTGAGACTACTACATATACCAGCAGAGCGATAGGGATGCAGACAGTCAGATGTCAAACATTCTTTTGACACTTTGTCATAGCATCTCCTCGCTCGGTGACACTTGTCAGCAGTCGGATTTCGCATTTTGGCGGTATGGAATGGAGACTGGCAGTGGCCGCCACAGTTGATTTATGCTGCCATTCGAATCATACATAAATATCTATATAAATATGTATATATATGGATGGTCTTTACTTATGAAATCGGTTCTAAATCGCACTGAATTCAATTTTGCTAATGCATGAACACAGTGACAGGGAGACCTCTATCTCTCTATCACTCTGGTGAAGATAACAAATCTGTATTTGGGTGACAGGCCACCTGGGAATATAAAGATACATATTTCCAACAAAAAACTATACATTTTGGCCAGATAGTCAGACTTTAATTACTCTTCCATCCTTGATAAGGGACTCAGGTTAAGCCCAAATATATAGAAAATAGTAGTATATATTAAATCGTAAGACATGATCTTCAATCACAATAATTTATCCAACAACACTTACCCTGAAGCCTCAAAGTTCAGTTCAAAATATGATAATCAGTTTCTTGGCAACTGTCAAGTTTTCTAGCTCACCAAGTCTTCGAAGCAAACTCAATTAGCCAACAGTTTGGCTATTTAACTAGCAAGTTGAAGGCCATTTATCAGGGCATCTAATCTAATCCTTTTACTGGTCAAATAAATTAAAATGGAAAGCCCTTTTCGGCAGCGCCACTAAATTACACCAAAAAGATAATTAACCTGTGTGGGCTGGCGATGGCTCTGGCTCCGCGGAGAGTGAGTTGCGAATGGTTTTTGCAGGCACTTTATTAGGTCTTCGACCCAAAAGGAGGCGTCGGCGGCAATGGCGGCAACGGAAGCAAGGACCAAGGATGAAGGAGCGAGAAATTACAAAATGGCGCAAATTATTGCAGAACGGCGACCGACCTCGTTGGCTATTTCCGTCGTCAGGCATTTTTCCAAATGAAGTTTCGCAAGTAATCATGAAAAAGGTAATTTAATAAAAGCAAAATCGAGAGCAACATAAAACTAATTTACGGCCTGAAATTGCCTGTGAAAAGCCGAATGAAAACCCGAGAAAAATGCGGCCACAAGATGAGGCTGAAGCAGAGTTTTTCGCCCAACAACGGCTTTTGGGCCTTTGAAGTTCAAGGTTAAATACACATTGGAGCTGGCCAGCTGTTGGTCGGTCCAGTCAGTCGAAATAATGGACTTGCAAGCGGGTGGAGGAGCTCGAGATGGATTCAATAAGGGATAAGCCAGTAGCATGCATGAGCTCTCCTTGGTCCGAGTTCCGAGGTCCAAGGTCCTTGCAGTGACACAATTGCACAGCATCCAAAGAGGAGCAGAAGGAGGAGGAGTCTCCATAAGCAAGAGCATCTTACTGGCACATCCTCCAGACACTCACCAAACAGCAGCAACAAGGATTTTCTTGAATTTTTCCTTAACCTAAAAAGGCACAAAATATTTCTTAGGGGACTTAGCTGCAGGAATTTATTGATATTTGAGCAAGCCAAAGGGCTTTAGCAAAGAGGAGTTGCTTTTAAATTCAACTATTATAACGCTGTATAATTATTTACTATTTTATTTATAAAATTCTATTATCAAGCTCTCTCTTAAAAAAGGGGTTTTACTGCCACAATCTTCCCCCTGACCACACACATGATAAAACAATTTCGTAACTTATTTATTTCACATATTTTTTTATGCTTTCTACATTTTTATTTTCCGCTCTTTTGCTCCTTTTTTGCTTTTTTTGTTGACCTGCTGGCTTGTGGCCAAGCTCTGCGAAATTGTTGGCCAGAAAATGTAACAAGGCCAAGGAAGTGCAGCAGCAAATATGGCTAAAAATGCTAAAGGACAACATGTTAAAGTTAAAGGCAAATATGTTGGAAACTGAGCAGAGGTTTTCCCAGTCACATTTTGTGGCATTTTCCTAACATTTTTTGTTTTTTGTTTTGACTGCAGCTGCGTATCCAAATCAAAGTATTTAAGCTGGAATTCCAACGTCCCTTTTTGCATTATTTAAAAAAAAAAGTTGCTTTAATGCCAGTTTATGCTACGGCATTTGGGCCGAAAAACAAAAACTGGAGCAAGCCATCTGGGAGACGACGACGACGGCAAGTAAAGTTTTTCTGGCCTACGCAAATGAGACCCAGTTCCGCCCAAGAGCGATGCAGTGGAGCAGGTTCGAGCAGTAGGTCACCGCCACCACCGAAGGAATAAAAGGAAAAGTGGTGCAGAAGAGTGCTTAGCCTTGAGTTCACCTGATGATTTAGTCATAATTTAACACTGTTTAGGAGAAATATGTTTACAAGTACTTATAGATTATTGCTAAGTATTTTCTTAGTTGTATTATTTTCTATTCCCCTTGAAAAACAAAGAAACCCCTAGAAAGAAAAACAATCTGTTTCCAAGGCCTTCGCAGCTGGTTTATGCTACTTTCTTCCTCCTTCTACCCCCCACACACACACTGAACATAATCTAAAACAGAAATGTTAAAATCCATTTTAATTTCTATTATGCAAATTTGCTCAAGTGCCATGTGTCGGGTCGTCCGGGGCAACGTCAGATTTTTAGCCCACTCCAGTCCAGACCCAGAGAAGTGGTCTGTCCCACAAACACCAACGCAGAGAGTACCCACACACACACACTCATGTGTTAGATGGGGCAAGTGGTTCTGGTCTAGTCGGGTTCGCCTTGCTCCTCCGAATGTATAATAACATTATTATGGTGGAGATGCGGTCCAAGTTGGATGGTGCGAATCGGAAACTGGACTTCCAGCAAAAAAATAAAATAAAATAAAAATAATAATAAAATAGTGAAAAATAAAATACAGTAAGACTTGGAGAGTTAGGATCTTAAAAGCAATTTATAAATGCTTTCTTACTATTATTTCATTGATTAAAAATGTTAAAACCCGATAGAATATTTTAAATATGAAATTAATTCGTAGTAGCCTAAAAGTATGCAATGATACCTTGAGTTCAAGTTTTTCAATACTTTAAAGCATATTTTAAACCGCCTTTGATAAGGATTTCACAAAGAATTAAACTTTAGATTACTTTAATTTTAATTTAGAATAATGTCAGAAACAGTCTTGAACTCCTAAAAATGTGATTCGAGTTCTAAAATCTCTGCCCGATGCCCCCGTTAACAAATGCGGCAAACTTGTTTTTTTTTTTTTTTGCTAAAATAATTTTTGGGCTACAAAATTTGAATGCAGAATTTTTCAGACTCGTAGCAGCTCCTGCTGCATCCTTTCATTTCTGACATGGCCAATTCAATTTGTGAAAATATGGCACAAAGGCG